TTTATAGCATTGTGATCTGAAAAGATGCTTGACAGTATTTTGATGTTTTTAAATTTATTGAGAACTGCTTTGAGGCGTAACTCATTGTCTATTCTTGAGACTCTTACATTGGCATTGGAAGACAGTGTGCATTCTGCTATTGTTTGGTTGAATCCTTTGTGCAGATCTATGAGCTCAAGTTGAGTGATTGTGTTGTTTAGTTCCCTGTGTCTTTGTTGAGTTACTTTCTGGTTGTTCTGTTTCTGAAAGTGGCATATTAAAATCTCCTACTATTGTGTAGAGTTGTCAATTTCTTCAAAAGGTTCTATTAGAGTTTAGTTTATGTATTTTTAGACTGTTTGATTAGGAGCATAGACATTAGTTATGTCTTCTTGTTCACTTGACCTTTAATCATGAGATAATGTCCCTGTTTGTCTATTATACTGGTTTTTATCTTAAAGTTCATTGGATTAGAGATTAACATCACCACTCTTCATTTTTTATTGCAAATAGCTTGATATATTTTTTCCATTCTTTAATTTTTAATCCATTTTTGGCTTTGTGTGTGAGGTGTGTCTCTTGTAGACACCATATTGAAAGATCGTGCTTTCGTAGCCATTCATTCTGTTACTCTCTGTCTCTTGACTGGTGCCTTTAATTCACACTCAGTGTGATTATCAATAGGTATGGATTAATTGTTGTCATTTTGCTGTTTGTGTGTCTGGTGCTGCTGGTGTCTTTGTTCTACATGCTTTCCTGTGCTGAGTTTATTTTTGTGCTGTTTTTTATTAATTTCTTGATCTTTTTAACATTTCCAAAATCATCTTGGATTTACCTTTTCTTGATTTGTTGTGGAAATGTATTAAGTTTCTTTGAGGTTACTCTGTGCCTTATTAATTCTTTCCAAATTTTAAAGCACTCTGTTTTACCATGAAATCTACCTGATTGCTTCACCAACAGGATCTCAATAACTATAATTTTCCCTTTCTTCTCTTTGTAGTTGTCCTGATCATAGACTGACATCTCAGATCCCCTATTTTCAGTTGCAATTTTGTTCTGCTATGGACTCTTCCATATCTGGACTGAGTTATTGTCTGCTCTTGTTGGTTCTCAGACAAAGAGCTCCTTTAGTATGCTTTGAAACACTGGCTTGGCTTTTACAACATCACTTAATTTCTATTTATGCTCAAATTTTCTAATTTCACAGTCATATTTGATGGACAGCTCTAATGGGTATATGATTCTTGGTTGGCAGTTTTGTTTGTTTGTTTTCCTTTCAGAATTTTGTATGTGTCTCCCCATTTTCTTGCCTGTATGGTTTCTGCTGAAAAAATCAATGCTTAATCTTACTGGTTTCCCTTTGTAGGTAACATTTCTTTTCCCCTAGCTTATTTTAGTTTTTTTAGGATATATTTTCATGTTTTTCTTCTGGGGTCTATACTATGTAAGGTTTGTTCAGCTTCTTGAATGCTTACCTTCTTATCTTTGAAGATATTAGGGAAATTTTTTTCCAGCAGCTCTTCAGCTTTCTTTTCTGTGGTTTTCATTTTCTTTTCCTGTTCTGGAATTCCTGTAGGTTATTCCTTTTCATTTTGTTCCACATGAATTTTAGGCTTCCATCAGATATTTCATTTGTTTTTTTGTTTTTCCCCCTGCTTGCTCTTCTTAGCATTGAGGGATTTGTGTTCAGGCTCCATAAGTCTGTATTCCATTAGTTCAGTTCCTCTGCTTTGCCCTTTCAGTGTATTGTCCATTTCTGCTGTTTTAGTATACATCATCTGGACTTCTGTTTGCATGCTTTGTATTGTCTCTATTTTGTTTGATTGTTCCTGTAGTGCTTTCCTGACATCTTTATTTTCCTCGGCCTTTATATGGAACATTCTTTTGAATTCTTTTTCAGGTAGTACCAGATTGTCGTCTTCTCTCAGAAACAATTTCTAGCTCTTGCTCTTGGTACATACAAACAAAACTCTGTATTGTTTCTGCACATGAGTAGAAATTTTCTTCTGCATTTTAAGCATTGTGGTGGTGTATTTGTACTAATTTGATGACTGAATGTTGGTGTATTCTTAAGCAGTCTTTGTCACCTGGTAAGTGCGATTCTGTTCACTGTTCATACGGTTCAGTTCAGACTCTTTTTTAGCAGTTGTTGGTTTGAATGCTGGCTGCTCTCGTTATAGCAGCTGGAATTGGCTTTTGGCCAGTTGATGAAGTTTTAGTGGGTGTGGGTGAACTTGACTGTATGGCCACTGTTTCTGTCTACTGGCAGTCAAGGCAAGGAGAGAAAGCAATCGCAGAAGATATAAGGATCAAAAAAGCAAGAATAAAAATGAAAGTCCTGGAACCCAGAAAAAAACAAACAAACAATAAAAGACAATAAAAAGTAAATAATAAAACCTTTTTTCTTTTAAAGCGATGACACAACTGTGGGCAAATAAGTAATTCCTTAACACCATTTAGTAGACTCTTACCATCACAGCCACCTGAGAAATTTCATGATGTTCTCTCTTTGCCTCTCTAATCTATCACCAGCTGTTTTCTTTCTCTTTCCTTCCCCTTACGTCTGGTCAGCTATTTTTCCTAGTGGGTACCTGTCCTGGGCAGGCTAGACCTGATTTAGAAGAGACTGTTGGTGCCAGCTCTTTGTGTAGTCTCCTCCCCCTTCGATTCTGTGCCCATCTCTTCATTGTCTTTATCTTTAATAAACCTGTGACCTGTAAGTATGGCCCGTGAGTTCTGTAAGGCCATTGTCTTTATCTTTAATAACCCTGTGACCTATAAGTATGGTCTGTGAGTTCTGTAAGGCCATTGCAGTGTATTACAGAACTCAGAAGAGTGCCATCAGAGTGACCAGTGTCAGAATTGGTAAGAAGGGTTGCCGGGGAGAGCTATGTCTCACTGCTACCACATGCAAGTTGCTTTGGGCTGATCTTGGTCATTCTCCCCCTGCAGTCAGACATGTTTGGCTTCCACCGTTTTGCACCAGGTCTCCCATAGCAAGTCACCAATAGCTGGTAGCTGGAAACCACAGAACTATCTCTTCTCCCATTCTAGGTGCCAGAAGTCTGAGTTCTTAGTGTCAGCAGGACTGCTGTCACTCAGGAGGATCACAGGGAGAATCCATCCCAAGCTCTGGAGGTTGCCTGAAATCCTTGTGGTTTCTTAAATTGTAGATGCATCATTCTACCCTCTTTGTATTCTTATCTTCTGCTTCTCTTTGTGTCTTTTACAAGAAAACATAGATTCTGGGTTTCTTGTTGTTAAGTGCTGTCAAGTTGGTTCCAAGTCATAGCATGCTTGTATAGGGTTTCTGAGGAGCTGCTGGTGAGTCTGAACCGCCGACCTTGGGGTTCAAACTGACTTTGAGGGCTATTGCTTATCCTTCACCACCACAAGAGGCCATAATTCATCATACTTTTTTTTTTTTTTTAAGTTTTTATTGTGAGGTTCACATGGGAGAACATCAGCCCTACACTCATCTGTTTCATTGTAATGATTACAATCCCCTCCATGCGTCATCAAACAACCAAAGGGTACACCCAATAGGCCCACCCCCTGGCCATCAGCACACAGCTCCTCTCCTTCTCTGAGTTCAGTGCCCCAAGTTGCTCCTTCTGTCCATGTCATCTTCTCTGTCTTCATACCTGATATCACTGCCTCTTGGGGTAAGGTCCCATTCTCCGTTCCTCTCACTGGGTGTGTCCTGGTGGATATGATCAGGTGATAGGCTTCCTTTTTTTGCATGTTATTGCTCTTGCCTTAATAGTGCAATATTATGGGGTATGCTTATAGTTTGGCTATATGGCCACGATTGCTGTCTCTTCTTGGGTAAAAAGGAGAAAAAGCTCCCACCTCCAGGACAAATGTATGATCAAAAGGACCAAAAGCAGAAGCAATATAAAAGAAGAGACAAAAACCACCACTTTGAAACAAAAATAAAACTGTGGCCGATTGTTCAGTTGCCTTACTACACAGGCAGTGTGTGTGTGCACCATAGAAGCTTCCAGTAGTGGGTGGGGTATCCACTCGCTCAGGCCCTTCCTCTAGTCGCCAACATAGAGGTATGCAGATAGATGTTGAGAAGTTAATTGGAGAAAGATTGTCTACTGTTTTTGTCTCTGAAGGTCAGTTAGGTATCTGCATGTGCACAGCATAGTTCTCAAGATAGTTGCATTCTTTTATGCTGGGGTTTTACAGATTGTTCTTGCTGTATAGTGAAGGGTCCCACACAAGTTATCTTTATGGCTGGGACCCACAGGCTGACATCATAAACAGCCACCAAGCTCTTTCTCTCTGTGCCATGGGAAAACTATGGGATCAGAGTTGGACTTCCTTTTTTGGGGGGGTAAGGGAGATGTATGCACCCACCCACCTGAAGGTGTCCAGGCTGGACAAAGAAGGTGCGACAGAGAAAAGGAGGAAAAAATGTGTAGAATTTCCTGTGCCTCCTTTTGCAAATGTCACTTGTGCCATTTTTAGCACCAGTTGCCTCTGCTGGTCTGGCTGTAACCCCACCCTCTGAACTCTGCCCAGGTGGGTGGCCGCAGAGGGAGTCCCATCTCAAGCATTTCCTAACTCGCAGTATTTTCCTTTATATTGTGATTTTTCACTTGCACATGTGATAAACTGACACCCTATATCTTATGCTAGATCCAGAGCTCTGGTGGTGTTGCGTGAGCGGAGCTTCTCTGGGTTTTCAATCCCTCCCCCACGGAGCCTTTCTTAGCTGGCTATCTTTGCTGCCTGCCAAAACTGGAACTCCAATTCATCACACTTTTGGGAAGGACCAGAGACAGACACAAAGATGGCAGCAGAGGAAGAAAATTGTTTCCAGGGGATTTGTTTTTGGAGTAACCAGACTCTCTAGTGGGCTTGGACAAGAATTCTAGGCAACATTGTAACACTTGGGAATACAGAATGTGAATGTGGAGCTTCATGCTTCATGGGAGGTTTAAATGCTTTGTAGGCAGTAGTTTTTAGGCTGTGGAATCAGGGATATTTATCTCTTCTTTCATTTTTAGGTTTGAACCTTCGTAATCTCCTTGTTTACAAGGGCTGTGCATTCAACTGCACATTTACATATGCATCTCAACAGCCCCCTGAAGCACCAAGAAAAATCACCAGAAAAAACAATTTCTATTATGTTCATTGTTGTGGAGTTAATCGGTGCAATTTTGGAGGACCTACTAATGTGGAGAGGGACATGCTCCCATTCCAACCAATTGAGGAGAATCTTCCAGAAGGAACCGTGCCTTTAGGCGAATCAACCCTGTTTCTGAGCCTTGTCTCCATCATTATCAACAATGCGTTGACTTGAGGACCCCTTCTAGGGAGCTGGTTCTTGCCCCCTCTTTTTCAGTGCACACTCTGTTGCTCTCCTAAAAATCAGTGACACTGATCCACTGGGCCACTGCTGGGAGATTTCCCCATTGATGGTTTACTTTACGAGTTAATAAAGAAAGGAATGGTTTGTGGAGAACTTGTATAGTCTTTGGTTTGCCAGCACATCCTCCGACATCCTCAGAGGAGTCTGCACAGACCTAGTCTTCTGTCTGAATCTTGCTACATACTTGGGGTTACTTTGTGACCTTAATTTTGAACTGCTGCTTCTCCTTGAGATATTGTGAATTAAATATTTGTTGTGCTAGTTACCAGTAACCCTGCCACCTTAGCCTTAAAAAGATCATTTCTCAAAACCAGAGCTGTTAGAGGATGTGGCTCTAGGTCAGCTGGAGGAGAGATTCCCATCTCTGGCTCAGTCCTTTACCTTAAGCCCCTAAGATTACATAGGCTTTTGGGTCAAGGAGCAAGGGTCGCAGAGAGAGTGCTTGCCACATGGATCTGCAGAACCAGTCCTGGAGACAATGTCCTATGTCCCTCTGTGTGTTAATGATGTTTTACAGGCACTCTACTAGTCTCTCATCAGTGGCTTTGGCTTCACACAAGCCACAGGGTGAAGGGGCCTGAAGCCAGCTGATGACTGACTTGCAATGGTAGGGAGAGCTGGGGTTGCCACACTCACTCTGAGCATATGCCTTGTTGGTATTGCGACACTACCATGGGTGGAACCTGGAATCAGGCCCTCTATGTTTCTTCTGCCTATTGTAACAATTCAATTACCAGATTTTAAAAATCATCGTGATAAATAATTTAGCCTATTTTAAAGAGTTAAAACCCCAGTCTTTAGTTTTTAAAGTGTTCACAATGTGCATCCATCACTGCTAACTAATACCTGAACATTTGCCTCACTCCACAAAGAAGTCCACAGCCACGTGGAAGTCATTTCCCATTCACCCCTCCTACAGACCCTGGCCACCAGTAGTTGGCTTTCTTCCTCTGTTCACTGATTTTCCTGTTTCATATTTCATAGAAATAGAATCACACTTTATTCCATTTTTTTGTCTGACATATTTCATAATGCATATTGTATAATGCATCAGTACTTTGATTCTTTGCGTGTATGGGTGCATATTAAGGCAGATTCACCTGGACTCCTTATATGTAGCTGTAGGATCAGACCCTGACAGGGAAGCACAGGGTCTGAAAACCCACCAGCTGCTCCTTGGGAACCTTGTACAGAATGGCTATGAGTCGAAGTCGACTCAACAGCAACAATTGAACTATATAATTCAGATACCATGCAACTCACCCTATTAAAGTATATAAGTAAATGTAGTATACATTTACAACTCCCCCATCCTTCTGGTTAAGAAACCAGGTACTGGAGAATATCAATTTATTATACCTGGTGTCTACATCTCATCTGTCACTTTGTTGTACTGTGGTGGCTTGTATGTTACTATGATGGTGAAAGCTATGCCATTATTATAAATTATATAAATACCATACATTCTAATAAAAACCTTAAGGGTCATCCACAGTGGACAGATTTTAGTTGAGCTTCCAGATGAAGACAAACTAGGAAGGCGAGATGGACTATTTCCAAATATTTAGTCACTGAAAACCTTATGAACAGCAGTGGAACACTGTCAGCACCAGATTATTGAATACTGAAACACCATGAAGAGTACCAGAATACTGTCAGATATAGTGCCACATGATGAGCCCCTTAGGTTGGAAGGCACTCAAAATGCAACTCGGGAAGAGCTGCCACTCAAAGTAGAGTTAACTGTGATGACATGAAGGAAGTAAAGGCCTCAGGACATTCATTTGCTGATTGGGCTCAACTCAAAATGAAGAGACACATCTATAAAAATCCATTAATAATTGGAACGTGGAACTTAACATGAATCTAGGAAAATTGGAAATAGTAAAAAATGTGCCGGGAGCCAGTCCCAGCAAACTTATTCCAGGGTTTTTCTGAAAACGGGTGCGGATGTCCACGGTAAGAATTACACGGAGTCTATGGGTCTTCTTCTTACATGCTTTAATATTATTATTTCTGTGGCTACTCTCTATTTCCCTCATTTTTTACTGTCCTGCTCACTCCTTACTCCCCTGCTCCCCTGCTCATCCTTCTGCTTCTTTTCTCCCTTCCCCGGCTCCTGCTTTCATTCTCTCCTCTCCTGCTCATCTCTTCTGTTTCCTTTCTCCCTTCCCCTCCTTCCATTTCTTTACTGTCTCTTTCTCTACATTACTCTTATTCTTTTTCTTTCTACACTACTCCTCCTAATTATCTCTACATTACTACTTTCACTACTCCACTGCCCTGTTCCTTCTCTGCATTACTCCCTCTATCCTCCCTCCATTCTTGTCTTGTCTCCTCTCCACCTCATATTCCTTCTTCTCTCCCTACTTCTTTCTGCTTCTACTTACCTCTCTCACTCTTGCCTCTACTCACTCTTACCTCTACTTACTTATTCTATCTTACAACCCCCTTATATACCATTACAAAAAACATTGCTTTCATAGTAATCAGTAACATCAAAATACAATCAAGTCTGGGGCACATTCTTCATGATTTACATCAGGGATGAAAAGTTACAGCAAAGAGACATTATCTCAAGGCATACAAGACATTCAGGCGACTTGAAATCTTTTAGTTAAACATTTGTTCCTACATAAATCTATTCTTTTCTCTGAGAAGCAAGTTAACCTTCACATATGTTTCTTATCCTTTGTCTGTTAAGTCTTGTTAATTTTAGTTGTTAGGTGCAATTAACTCTCCATTAACTTCTTCCATACACTATCTGTTTATAGCCTACAAAAACATCACTTATCAGGGAAACTGAGGCTATGAAAAACAACTTCTCTATTTTACTGATCATTAATTTAAGAATGTCTAAGTCAGACTTTTTATTTAGTATCTGTATATACCCATAGCTTTTATTTATGGCCTGGTTGCTTTTAGGGGTTCTTTATTGCCTTAAACTAAGGCTGCAAGGAAGAACATTTACAATCACTAAACTTAAGCTGGTAGTAATTCAGTTGATAAATCCTGTCTCCTAGCAGTCTTAAGAACATTGTTAATATAAGTATTAAAACTACCTATGATTACAAGTAGAATAAAATGTAGCTAATGTGTGGCTTCTAACTTTTAATAAAAATAAAGTGTAGGAGAGTCAAAATCTAAAGTAAAGGGATACTAATAAAATAATGAATAAATCAGAGAATGATACAAAAGGAAAAAAAAAATTTAACTAGGGGTCTGCACATAGAATATTTCTTGTGGCTCTGCCATCCAAAGAAAATAATTCATCGTTGTTAAGTGCCATCGAGTCGGTTCCGACCCATAGCGACCCTGTACAGGGTTTTCGAGGCTGTAAATCTTTACAGGAGCAGAAAGCTTCATCTTTCTCCCACGGAACAGCTGGCAGTTTCGAACTGCTGACCTTAAGATTCACAGCCCGATTCGTAACCACTATGCTATCAGAGCTCCCTAACATCAATATATACTAGGCATTATTGAGCTGACATGGACTGGTATTGACCATTTTGAATCTGATAATCACATGATTTACTATGCCAGAAATTATAAATGGAAGAAGGATGGCATCACACTCATCATCAAAAAGATCATACCAAGGAGAGCAAACAAGATGGCGGATCGGGTGGACGTATAGCAGAGAGCTCCGCCAACAACAACACAGAATATCCGACCAAGCAGGCTCAGGGGCTGGTCCCAGAACTCTGAACCACATATAAAGGAATACTTAGAAGGTTGGAAG